GCCACCTGGCAAAGGAACTTTGGCGCTAAACTAGCCGCGTGCCAAGGCGGCGGCTAGTTATATAATATATAGAATACCAAGTTTAACTCCAAACTTTAACTTAGAAGAATCAGCAATTAGTTCCTACTATAAATACACAACGCCTTTCCTATTGCAGTAATTCACGTTTTCCTAAGCTTATTGCAGTATACAAACGCGACTCACATTAAAGTTATTTATATTAAACTAATAAAAAATTTTATTTATATAACCAAGTTAAAAAAGCTAAAGTGTTTAGTTAGCCTAATTTTAATAAATTTTTATATTAAGATAGTAGTAGCAAGGGCCAAGATTAAATATTTTAAAGCACTTACTTAAGGTATTTTTAATTTTTTAAATTTAGGCTTTATCCCTACTAACTAGCAAAAAATTATTTATATATATAATAATAAAAATCTTGCTATTAGTAAAAACTTTTAGGTTTAAATAAATAAAATAAAAGCCTAGCATGGCCAGGAAGTCCGTAAGTAATTAGTATTAAATTTATAATACTTACTTTAAGCTATAAAAAGCCTTTTAAAGCTAGTAAACGCGCTTAAAGCCATTAATAAAAAGATAAGGCTATTTTATAAAAATTATAATATTAATATCCCTATATAAGAATATTATTTTTATATTTATTTATTTAATTTTAAGGTCCAGCACGGCAGTAATAATAAAAAAAAGCTTATAACTTATTAACTTTATTATTTTAGTAAAGGTTTTATAATAGTTAAGCTTATAAACTTGCTTAAAACCCCGGACTACCTAGTAAGCTTTATAGTAGAAAATCTAGCCTTTTAATTTTTTTTTAATTTTTAAGACCTATTTACCAGGGAGCAAGTGTTTTTTAAAAGGTAAGTTAATAAAATTTTAGGTTTTATTTTTTATTAGGAAATTATATTTTTTTTACATGCCCTTAAACTATTTATTTTATTTATTTTTAGCCTTGGCTTGCTAAACTATTAGTTTATTTTTTTTAAAAATTTACTTATAAAGTATTATAACTAGTATTAAAATATTATTTAAGCTAGGCTTGCTAGCTAGTGCTTAAAGGTTATTTAAATAAGGTTTACTAGCTAGGGCAATCCTATTTCACGTGGCTTTAGTAATATTTTAAAAATAAAATAAATAGGCTAGCTTATTTAAAATTTAAAAAACCCTTTTAAAATTAATAGTAGCCTAGGCACGTGTGTAATATACTAAGCTAATATTATAAAAGCTAAAATTAAGGTTTTTTAAAAACATGTTAGCTTTAGTAACTAAATTAATAGCTTTTATTACTAAATTTTTAGGGTTTACATACCTGGAAAGGTTCTTAAAAGCTAGGCTTTTTAGGGATTTATTTTTAGGGTTTTTTTTAGTATCTAGGTTAGTGTTAGCTAGTAAGTTCTTAGGGATAAAAATCCCTAAAAATACTAAAGCTTTAGGTATCTTAAAAATAAAGATTCCTAAAGGGTTTAAAGCTCTAGGTAGTGTTTTAAAAATAAAGGTCCTTAAAAAAGGTAAAGCCTTAGGGATGGAAATCCCTAAAAAAGGTAAAGCCTTAAAAATAAAGATTTTTAAAGGTGTTAAAGTAGCTGCTTTTAGTAAAAAATCTAGCCTAATATAGTAATTCTTAATAATATTAATATTATATACTAAAACCACGTGGCTATTATTTAGAAAAACCTAGTATAACTTATTTATTTTTTTATTAAACCTAACTAGCCTTTTAGTTCTTATTTTACTATTTTTACAAAGCTTTTTTTACTTTTTTAGTAGGTTTAAAACATAGACCTTAAACCAAAGGATATAAATATAAAAAATATTTAATTAATAGCTATACCAGGCTTTAAATAATATAATATTATTTAGTATAAAATATAAAGTTTAATTATATAAATAACTAATATTTTTATAAAACTTAAATTATATATTAGCTAGGGCTCTAGTGTTATATAATATAAATTATATAAGGCTAAGTAACTTATTAATAAGTGCTTTAATATAGCTATTTTATTTATACTAGTTTATATTAAAGGTTTTTATAATAGCTTTAAAGCTATAAATAAGGTATTATAAGTTATAAATATTTTCCCCCCCTTAATTACAGCGTACATGGCATAGCGGGAGTTTAAGCATATTATACTAGTAAATAATAAAAAAAGCCTAGGTAGTAAATTTATTCTTGCTAGCTAGTATTATAACCTAGTATTAATAAAATTTATTATTTATAATAAAGTTAATATATACCTTTTTATTAAACAAGAGTGGATACAGGCCGGAAACATTTATATAAAGTAGTTTAAATAATTAATTAATAGGTATTATAGTGCTCTTGTAAGGCTTGGCCTGCTAGCGTGTAATAATATAAAATTTATAAATATAGTTTTTAGGCATGTGCATGCTATAAATCACCTTTTTTATTTTATTAAGCTAATTCCCGGAGGTGTAGCTTATTTATTAATACTAAAGCTAAAAAAATTTATTTTAAAAAATAAATACTGCTAGTATTAGGATAGCTAGTATTACCAGGCCCTAGTAAAAATTTAGTAAAAATATTTTATAAACTTTAGTAGCTATATACTAAGTTAATTTATAATTATATAAAGTAATAATATTAGCACCTTATAGCTTCTTAGCTTTTATATTTTATTAGCTAAAGTTAACTAAGTAATACTTATTTAGTAGCTAAAAGATAAATATTAGTATAAAAAATATATTAAAATAATATAAAATATTATTTAAAGCCAGGATTTTAAGCTAGTTATTAATATAATAGGAAATTTTAATAATACTAATACCCTGGGTGTTAAAAACTCCAGGGCTAATACCCTTAATATTAAGGCTAGTATAGGGCTTAAAATTCTAAAATAAAAAATAATTATAGGTAATATATTGCGTATAGCCATTATTTAAAATAATTTATTAAATAAAATTATTTTAAATAGTCTCCTACTTAAAATTTAAGCTAATTTAAGCTATAAATACTAGCTTAAGTATAGGTTTTATATTTTCCCTAAATTTAAAGTCCTTCCAGGGGTGCTTAGCGCCCTTATTACCTTAAAAGTTTTTTTAAGTAATTTTAAGCTTAAAATAAAGTTAATAATAGGTTTTTTAGCTATAAAATAGCATGTTATAATAAAAATAATAACATGTAATAATATTTATGGTACCCTTATTTTTATATATTTAAATAATATTAAGGTAATTTTTATAGTATTTAATATTAGGCTTAAATACCTTATTAAAAAAAAGTGCTAGGGTACTAGTGCCCTGGTTCTAGTTTAATTTAGTAAATTTAATAATAATTATAAAGTTATTTAAAAAAATAATTAGCATGGTAGTATCCCCTGGGAGGTATTTAATAACATAGTTATTAAAATATATAGCCTTAAAATAGTTAAATTAATTACCTAAGGCTTAATAAAAGGTAGTAATAATAAGCTTAGCTAAAAAAGTAATACTAACATGGGTAAATTCCTGCTAAATCTTTTTAAGTTTCTTGCTAAAGTTAAAAATACTTTTATTATAAAATAAGAAGGTTAGGTTAGCCCAGGCCTTAAAAATTATAGTATTAATATTAAATTTAAAGTAGCTTTTAATTTTATTAAGTAGCTTATAAACTATTTATTTATTAGTAAAAAGGTTTTATAAATTAAAACCTAAATAACTAAGGATTAAAGCCACGGCCCGGTCTTAGTTTTACCACTAGATCTTTACCTTATTATAATTTACCGGGGGCGTAGGCTTGGTAATAGCCTTAGTAACAGGCTAAGCAGGAGGCTGCATGGTGGTGGTAACCGGGACTTTACTATTAATGCTTGTGTTTTTAGCTTGGCTTGTAGTAAATTATTAGCTAAAGGTCTTAATATCTTTGCTTACTAAAGCTAGTATAATAAAAAAAWAATAATAGGGGTTTTTACAGGGCGCCTTTAGTTTAATTACTTTAAAAGGTAGCTATAGCTAGCCTTTTAAAGTTTTAGGAACACTTGCTAGTTTTATTTAACCTATTAATTTTTTAAGGTTAAAACTAGGATATTTTTTACTTTAATTAAGGTTATTTTTCCTATTTTAGCTTGGTGTAAAAAAATTAAATATAAAAAAATTAAACATAGGGAAACTAGATAATAAAAAAATTAAAGTAATTTATATGCTAGAAATTAAAGTGCTTAGGGATTAAGAATCTAAGGTAGTTAAAAATAATAAGCCCTAAAAAGTTACTATAATAAGGTTAAGGTTAAATAAGTTAAAGCTTATGCTGGGATAGTTAAAAAAAAAAAAAAAAACTAGTAACCGGGAATAGCTAGTTAATTATTTAAAGGTTAGTTTAAATTTTTAAAAAGTAGTTAAAGTTAAAGTTTAAATTAAGAAATTTAAAGGTATTATAGTGCTTTTAAAGGTTCTAAAACTTTTTAGCTACTAAAAAAAACTTATTTTTATTAAAAAATTAAATACATGTGGCTTTAGAAAGCAGGCGTTTATAAAATTAAAAGTTAATTAAAAAGGTAAAAAAAAAAAATAAAGAATTTAAGGTAAAAAAAAATAAAGTTATAATATTTATACCCTTATAGTAAAGGCCTTGCCCTAAGTATAGGGCTTTTTAATTATTATAATAATTAATAAAGTTAAAAATAATAAAGCTAGATAATAAAATAAGAAAATATTATATATTTAGTTAGTGTGGGTTAACTTAAAAAAAAAAGACTTTTAATTAGGTATATAAGTTAAGCAAACCCGGGCTTATAACCTACTAAAAAAATAAATAATTATTATATATAAAAGTCTCTTGTATTACTTGGTATATTAAGCTAAATATTTTAGGGATAAATAAAGAGTTTTACGGGTGGCTATTCAGGCCAGAAGAACCTTCCTCCACCGGAGCCCTAAGGCCTCCGGTGGCCTCAGGCACCCACTTCCAGCAGGGTCGAGAGGCGGTTCTTACGTCGGGGACATGGGAGGAGGGTGGGTGGCCGGTTCTGCAGCGCGTCAGGGGGGTTATGAGCGGTCCGTTGCCGAAGAAGCAGAATGTTGAGAACCCGATTAACGAGCCGGAGCATCTGACGTTCTCTCCTGGGTCGGAGATTCCAAGGAATCTGGTGTACTGGCGCTTTCCGGACGAGTCGAGCTATGTCGTCTCGCCGAGGGGTCATCCGCATACGCTCCGTCTGACGCCGAGTGTGTATGGGCCTTCGTATAATCCTGATTCTGTGACCGATCCGATTACGTTTGTTGCGAGGAGGCAGACGGATACGTTGTTCCGGTTCAGTGTGGACTTGGAGTTTGAACCGACCTCGCCAGGGACGGAGGCAGGGATTAGTCTGTTCTTGACGCAGGAGCAGCATGTTGATCTGAGTATCGTTGGCGTTGCAGCTTCAAGGGTTCTCCAGCTGAATACGATCGGAAAGGGCAACTACAACGGATCTCTGACGAATGTCACGACGGAAGTGCCGCGGGGATGGAGGGACCAGAAGGTTACTCTGTCAGTGGAAGCAGTCGACGACGAGACATATGAATTCTCTGCTTCGCTGGCATCGCGACCGCGGAAGAAGATCCATGTCGGTTCTGTTGATGCGAGGGTTCTATCCGGGGACACCGGGCGGTTTACAGGTTTGCACCCACGGCCCTGGTTTAGCTGCCGAAACTGACAATGACTAGGGACCCTTGTTGGCGTCTATGCCTCTCGAGCTGGAAAGGGCGGAAAGAGTAAGGATTATGCGTACTTCAGCGACTGGAAGTATGAGGGACTCGGGCAGAAGGTGGATTGGGATGTGATTGTGCCGAGTTATTGACTGCCTTTGAAAAGGGTATTGCACTCAGGACTTGCTTCTTATCTTGATAAACCAATTCAAGTATTAAATTCAGTTCTCGGTCCGTCGGAACGGACACCGTAACCGCGTCGATCCCCCGGACGATCCCTGTGCCTTGTTCTGTGCCCCTAAGGTTGTTAAGTTGTTCAGTTGTTGTTCCCTGTTCCCTGCCGATCCACTCTGCTTGGTTCTTTCGTCATTTCCATTCTCCCACTTCTTCCTCTTAACACACCCCTCGCCTCCCACATCCAATCCATTAACCTCTCACCATGCCTCCCTTCGACATCCTACTGACGCTCCTCACACTTACAACATTCCCCTCAATAGCGACCGCAAACCTCACCCCCTGCGTAACCCAATGCATCAACCAAACCGACAGCGCCTCATGGTGCCAGGGCGACGAGACAGGGCGGCAAGCAGTTGAATGTCTCTGTCGCCATCTGGATCCATCGCCTCTGATCGAGTGCATCCGAAACTGCAGCCCGAGCGACCAGTGGGAGTTTGCCGGTGATCTGCCGCAGAACTGTCGCGATGATTTGTTTCCTGAGGCTGCGGAGGGGGAGAGCAACGATGCGGGGAGGTTTGGCTTCAGCAGAATGGGTCATCTTCTTTTGATGGGCGGGGTCGCGATCGTGGTGATTTCTTGAGGACAGGAGCATCCATGCATCGACAGTCCCACCTGCTTTTCTGACTCTATACGCATATTACTTGGGGCGTCACTATAGGCGCCCCCACCAGAATCAGCAGCTTTAAACGAACCGTCGAATAAAAGCCGTCTCGGCCCCGCAATGGATGCCGTCGCCTAACGCGATCTCACCTAAGGTCACAGTTAGGGTTAACTAAAGCCCGCGGGTTAGGCATCTACCAAGGCGCGCTAGTTTTAATATAGTAGGCAGGCTAAGATTTAGCCTAAATATATAAGCTAGTTATTTTATTTTTTTTATATTTTATTAACTTTACTAGGTACTAAGTTATAACTAGTTAGCTTTACTAACTAACTTTATAATAATATAAAAAAACTAGTTATTAACTAAGTATATTAACTTTTTTTTTAAAAAAATTTTTTTTTTTTTATTTTTTACCTACCTTAAACCTAACTAGTTAAAGCTAACTAGTTAAAAATAACTAGTTATTATTTTTTATTAATTATTTTTATTATTTAATTTTTAATTAATTACTACTTAGTACCTAACTAGTTATTTTTTAGTAATTATTTTTTATAAGTTTATTTTTATTAATATTTTTAACTAGTTATTACTTAGTCCTTAACTAGTTATTTAATATAATAATAAAAAACTAGGTACTTAAAACCTTTTTAAAGTACTAGTAATATATAAAATTATATATTATTAATATTTTTAAGCTTTTAAAATTTAAGATTATAAGTTAACTAAACTATAACTAATTAATAATAAGTTACTAACTAATTTAATTTAATATTAACCTTATTAATAGTAAGCCTAAAATATTTAAAATTTATATTAAAAAGTAATAGTGCTAGTACCCTAAGTATACCTTATTAATAAGTTAATTAATATTTAATTAGTACTTAACTAATAATTAACCTTTTATTTAAAAAAATTATAATATAAAGTTTAACCTTACTAGGTATATTAAAAAAATATATATTAAAAAAAAACCCTTTTTATACCCTTAATTTTTACTTAATTAATTATAATAAAAAAACCCTAAATAATAATAAAATTAATAATATAATTAATAAGTAAATAGCCTGTTTTTAATTAATTATTAATTAATTATTAATAAGTAATAAAATAATATAAAACGCTTATTAAAAATTATATTAATTATTAAAAGGCTTAAGCTATAAAAAAAATAAGTATAATAATTACTTATTTTTAACTAGTTTTTAACTAGTTAAATATTATAAAAGTAATGCTAGCTAATTAACTCCTACTCCTAGCCCTAAAAAAAAGGTAAGTTTTTTAATTAATAAGTAACTAGTTACTAACTAATTAGCGCTATTATTAATTTTACTTTTAATAAGGTTAATAAAACTTTTATTATTATACTTAAAAACCTTATATAAGTTTAAGCCTTAACTAGTTTATAACTAGTTATTAACTAGTTATTTTTAAATTTTTTTTTAACTATTAAGCGCCCTCTTGTTTATTATTATTGTAATTATTTATAGTATAGTAATAAAGGGCTTAAAATATATATATAAATTAAATACCCTTAATTAATTATTAATTAATTATATACTAGTATTATTTTAACCCTTTTTAAAAATAATAACGCCCAGGTTAAATATAAAAAGTTTATTAAGCTTAATAAAAAATAAAAGGCATAAGTTATTTTTATATTAACCTTAATTAATTATTAATTAATTACTTATTAATTACTTTTTTTTATATAGCTAAAAAAGTGTTAAGCCCCTCTTACCCCTTAATAAAAATAAATAAATAAGTTTTTTTAATTAATTTATAATTAATTTTTAACTAATTTAATTAAATAACTTTAAAATTTAAAAGTTAGGTAAGTAGCTTACTTTACAAGCTTATAAAGCTAATTTTAAAGTTAATATAAAGCTTATAATACCTTATATAAGTTATAAAAAAGTAAAAATTAAGTATAAGTTTTTTTAATTAATTTTTAATAAATTACTAACTAGTTAGCCTGCGGAAGCACCTTTATTTATAATTTTTATAAATTTTATTAAATATTTTATTATTTTAATACTTAAAATACTGCGCAGGAGGAAGAGGTATAAAAAAAACTTAATAAAAAGTAATTATAAGCTATAGTAAAAAAGGTTAAAAAAATTAATAAATAATTAAAATTAGCTTTTTTTAAAAATATAATAACTAGTTCTTAACTAATTATTAATTAATTACTAGCTATTTATTTTTTATTACTTTATTTTTTTAACTAGTTTTTAACTAATTACTAGTTATTTATTTTTTATTACTTTGTTTTTTTTTAAAAATATGGCAACTAGTTCTTAACTAGTTCTTAACTAATTATTAGTTATTTATTTTTTATTACTTTATTTTTTATATACATCCAAATTAAAAAGTGATTTTTATTTTCTAAATATTTAATATATATAAAGTAAATAAGTATAATAGTTAATTTATATTATATAAGTAAATAATATAATAAAAATTAAAAAAATATTAAAATTAGCTAATATATTATTTAAAAAA